ACATGATGTTGAGGCTGTGTCTTATGGGTACAGTGGTACACCTCTGGCCAGAGTAAAACTATTCGAATAGCCGTGCCCGCGGTTATGGGCGGGTTGAGCAATGTTTTTCGTGATTAGTCTCACACCTCTCACAATAATTATGGATGTTATACCTGGTAATAATTTGCTTAGCTCCTGGTTTGGAGTTAGATCTGTACAGCCGGGTATGGTTGTTCAGGATGGTTGGGCCTGTGCAGCATGGGTGTGTTGTTCAATGTTGATTAAAATTTCTGATTAATTACTCCACTGTTTTACTTCTCCTAAATGTTTTGCTAAATGCTGATTTTGCAAATGAGCCTATATTATGCCATCCTTTGGTATCCTTGTGCACTTGCATATTTGCTGTGTGGCTTGTTGAGTATGTCATATGCTCATTCTTGCAATAATCAATCAACCTCAGTTGAAGAAAAAGGATCCAGAAGGAGAAGACGTTTGGCTTATACCCCAGTTGAGCTGCCTGTGGGAGTGGAGCTGAAGCCATCGCTAGACCGTTAATTCCGCTGCTGTTTTCTTTTCTTTTGTAAGTGTGTAACGTTATTATTATGATGGATTTGTATATTAAATTGTCAGTTTGTGTACCTCGGCTGATTCCTGGACGAGGATTTTATGCACAAATAAGTTCGGAAATTACTAGTGAATTTCTGGGCGTGACATTATTGCACTTTCTAGCCATAATAGAAGCCATGTCTTCAATTAAGCTTAGCGGCTTAAATCTTTTACCTCATTTGCCGCACACGTATATGTTGGTATTTCTTAACGTCATTACTAGAAATATGAATTCCTTGCAATGGCGCCGAAATACTTATGGTATACTATGGTTACAGATTTCATCCGCAAGCGCACGGATATACCATTGTAGTATTTCACCCGAGAGTATTCCAAAGTGTTGACGGAAAACACGAGGCCTGGGAGATCTGCTTAACTCCAGTGCAGGTCCAAAACTCGCCTTCGGGTATGCTAGCGTGCCAGTTGATTTGATCCTGCAATCAACAAGAAATAACGACAAGGAAACCGCGGTTAAACCTATAAACGATAGCCGATCGGCTAAGTACCGATGACATATCATTTATCTTTGAGCCGATGTCATATATATATATATCGATCGACAGTCATAAATAAATAAGAAAGAACTAAATCTACTCGATCAGCTGTAGATATTAACGATATATACTCCTCATATCGATATATATTTAAATCAAGTGATTGGGATAGATCGGTCGCCATGCCGAGACAGTATAAATCACTTAGATCGAAATATATATTAATAATAGGACTATATATGTTCATAGCATAGCCAATCAGATAGATCTAGCATGTATCGGCTAATACTCCGATACCGCTCTATACTAAGATGTTAAAGCAAGTAGAATATATCAAACAAAGGCCTAATATACTTAAATGCAACAAGATCTTAATATAAAGGGCAGATTTAACATATCAATGAAGCATATAGGGTGAATATAGTTAAATCAGGTAAGATCGGCTGAAACCCCGATACTATTCTAATTGGCAACCAGAAGGCAGGCTAGAGATTGATATTCTAAGCACGACTTAATAGATCAAACTCAACTGATGCCGCATTAAGTATGAAAAAAAGAACAATATCTAGACAATCAAGCCGCTGGAAGTTTCATAGAGTGGTAGATATCCTATATAATCTAAGTCAACATCGATGTTTAACTATAACTGCCCTCTACCGACAGATGTTAGCCGATAATAGGTTAAATAGCGATAATGCCAGAGATTATGTAAGATATATGATAACTTGACGAATTACATAGACAAGATTAGAGTATCATAAAGATGGAAGCACTAATCCCGAGAACGCAAGCCGTCATAACAAGTTTTACCTCTTGTTGAGGATCGAAACCGATGCAGCTCAACCCGAAAGTAAGAACTCGTCGAAATAAAACTAAAGCAAAAGGGTGGCGATGCGCCGAGATTGTATTGAACGTGTGTGTTCTTTGATTACATGTGGTTCGGGGCCTATTTATACTCGAAAATTACAAACTATGTCCATATCGGACACGACTCTTATCTCTAACAAACTCTAAGATACCATAAGTCTTAACGGCAGACTTTTGCCCAAACATATATCTAAGGAAATTACATAAAATATCATAATTAATAGATACAATTGCCTTCCCAGGACTCTATCCACGCGTGGCCATCATCTTGAAGCATATCAACTCAACCCGATGTCGTACACCAAGTCGTATTGTCGGAATCGGCTGTATCACCAAACCAAAAGTCTGACTCGAATTCAGCCGATCCAATCGTAGCCGATCAGGACTCCAGCCGATTCTTACTCTGTTCTCGCGATAATCCTTATCTCTGATTCCACTTCGATCTAATCTTCCTTTCCGATGCCGATGTTGCCAAATTTGGTTGTTAACACATGCCCCCCAAGTCCGGAATATTTGGTAATGTTTCAGATTTGCCGTATATCGACTCCGAGCAAGTTTCGCACTTCGCTATTTTCCGACCATTACTCCCGTGCTTTAAATACTAATCGTCACCCTCGAGAAATCTCACACCGTCCTCTTCTATTTTCGCCGCTGAAACAAACTTTGCCCTCTCTTTGCGGCGACTCCACCGACGCAAAAAGCGATTCCAAAGCGATTCCATCTCCGACCGGACCTCCGCCTGCGTTGATGTCGTCCTCCGCCAGCCCGTCTACCGCGCCATCAGCCGAGTACGCTGAGGTAAGGTCTCATCGGCTAGATCCCTTTTCCTCGCATGAAATCGATTTCCCCTTTCCTCATCTTGTTTTCTTCTTCTCGATTCTTTTGGATTTGCAGCACCTCTCCAATCTAGTTGCGATTCCCAGCCTGTCGCATGAAAACCATTACTTTCTTGGTCCAATCGGCAACCTTGACCCCACTGATTTCATCATCGGCGAAAGCAACAGAATCCCCTTTAGATTAGCCAACCCTAACCTAGGTCACTGGAAGAAAACTTTTAAGTCTTGGCCATCTCTCGAGAAAACCACCCCTGAGAGGAGTTGGACCACATGGTACAAGCGTGTATCGGCTAGTAAGAAAGTTCACTGGGATGAAATCGGGATTGGCCAAGCACTTGCCCTTACCATAGCCAATTCAGCTAAGGATGAACCTCTGATGGCCGCTGCCACTTATTTCTGGTCCAATACCATCAATGCCTTTCTGTTCAACCGAGGGCCGATGACTCCTACTCTGATTGACATCACCATGATCACTGGACTAGATGTAACCTCATCGGCCAACCCTATGAGCATGAATACCAAGAATCAATTTGATTTTAGAACCAAAAGCATAGGTGGCTGGTCTGGCTATGTAGCTGCATACATGGGTAAAGGGCCTGTCACTCCTCGAGAGCATGTAGCTTTCTTGCTAATGTGGTTAGAAAAGTTCCTCTTCTGTGGATCCAGTTGTGGTCCTACAACCAACTGGCAATTTATAGCCGAAGCCCTAGAATCAAAGAAACAATTTCCTTTGGGCAAAATCCTCCTCGACTATTTATACCAAATGTTGAACAATGCATCGGCCAAGATAGCTGTCGGATCGGTAGTTGGAGTAGGTAGACCATGGTGGTTGCTGCAGACCTGGTTAAACCTGATGGTCTTGAAAGTTGTCAATCGGCCATCTGTGACAGAAGCTGAATTTCCAAGGTTTAAGTTGTGATGTAATTCAAATTATTATTGATAACCAATAATTTGGTAAATTATTGATTTTATTTCTCTTTGTTAAATTACATATCTTTCAAGTTATTATTCATGTGAGATCCATTGGGTACCGGCGCCTGCCGGGCATGGGTATGGGTACAGAGTTTTGCCCGCTAACTCTAGTGGGTAGGGTTTGGGCAGGCAATGTCGGGTATCGGGTCGGGCATGGTTTTACTCTACCCGCGCCCGACCCGACCCATTGCCATCATCCCTAATGATAGATGTAATTCATGGCTCTTTGATATGTAGCTCTAGCACTCTTTAAACCGAAAGTCATTACAACCCACTCGAACAAGCCGATTGCACCAGGACACCTAAAAGCTGTCTTATGGATATCTTCTTCGGCCATAAAGATTTGATTGTATCCTGCATTACCATCCATAAAACTCAAAATTTTATGCCCCGAGGCAGCATCAACCAGCTGATCGGCTACCGGCATTAGGTATTCGTCTTTCGGGGTAGCTTTATTTAAGTTTCGGAAATCAATGCACACCCTGACCTTGCCGTTCTTCTTGATAATAGGAACTATACTAGAAACCCACTCAGCATATCGGCAAGAACAAATAAAACCAGCATCATATAATCGTTTAATTTCAGTCTTGACAGGTTCAAGCATATCGGCTTTACATCTCCTCGGAGGTTGCTGGTGTGGCCTAACCCCTGGTTTGATAGGTAGCCGATGTTCAACAATCGATCGGCTGAGTCCAGGCATCTCATAATACTCCTAAGCGAAGCAATATCTGAATTCTTTCAACAGCTCTATCAACTTGGTTCTAAATTCTGCAGATAAATTCTTACTAATAAATGTCGGCCTTGGTCGATCACCTAGACCTATATCAATTTCTTCCAAATCATCGGCCGACGTAAAACCCTGTCCTTGCTTGTCATTGAGATCATCTATTGTGTCCTTGTTGTAGACATCTGAACCCTCCAAGACGCCCTCAAAATAATAGCTTGGGTTCTCTATCTTCAATTGGCTATATATCAGAATCGGACACTTTTAGAAAATCTCCATCTCAAACTATTCCAGATAAATAATCAAGACCATCCATCTCCCAAAGAGCTAAATCGGCACTGGCAACATTGACTGACCTGTCAGCTGGCACGATTTCAATCTTGTCGCCTTGCCACTGAATCAAGCATTGATGCATGGTTGAAGGAATACAACAATTAGCATGAATCCAATCCCTTCCAAGCAACAATTATGCCGCGCAGAAGGGGCGTGCGAGGAGCGACGCCACGTCGGATTTTGCTATAGTGCTCGGGTGTGTTTTTGAAAAAAAGCCCTCCGGTTTTCTTTAATTACGTATAGGCCCCTCACAAACAGTGTTTGTATAGGAAAAATCGTGGACATGAATGTAAAAAGTGAAAAGAATAGGGGCTTTTTCGCAAAAAAACGCCCACACTACGTAAAAGCATCTCCAGCAGTCTTGCTATCTCACTCTCCGAGCAAAAATTTAGCAAGTTTGGTTCAAAATTAGACAGACTCCAACAGACTTGCTATTTGGATGGCCAAGCTATCAGCTGGCCAAACCGGCTCCCTGCCTAGCCAAATTTGGCCAGTCAAAACCAGCTTGCCATCCGTGGGACCCACGCGTGCTTCCCCCTCTCTCTCTCCGCACACTCTAAGGCGCGCAGCAGCATCCCGGCGGCGTCGTCATCCCGTCGCCAAGTGTCGACATCATCGTCGCCCCTCCGCCGGCTCCGCTCCTTCGCGCCGCCCCTCCTCGCCGCCTCTTCGCCGGCGCCGCTCCTCCGCGTCGCCCCTCCACCGGTGCTGCTCCTCCGCGCCACCGCTCCGCGCCGCCCCTCGCCGGCGCCGCTCCTCCGCGCCGCCCCTCCACCGGCGCTGCTCCTCCTCGCTGCCTCTTCCCCGGCGCCGCTCCTCCGCGTCGCCCCTCCACCGGTGCCGCTCCTCCGCGCCACTGCTCTGCGCCGCCTCTCGCCGGGAGGCGCCACCCGCGATGCAAGCCTTGTCGACCTTCTCCAGGTCGCGACGCGACGCGGTCCTGGAACACCGACTTGCCGCCTCCGCCACCAGCTTGGCGCTCGACGCCAGGTCGCCGCTCCCGCCCCCGCCAGACCGCCCGCCGTCGCCGCCGCCGTCGTAGGAGGCCATTCGCGTGAGCTGGGTAGCTAGCTAGCTAGCTTTAGCTTTGGATCTGAAGGATAAGAAGAAAGAAGGGGAGAGGGGGGGGGGGGGAAGAGGAGTAGAGGCTGACACGTGGGTCCGTCCCATCTAGTTTGACTGGCTAAATTACATGGAGAGTTGGCTATATGGCTATTTGGAGAGGCCAATTCAGAGAGACTGTTGGAGATGCTCTAACTCCCAAAACCCTATCCGCCGCCGCCCCCTTCTCCCTCTCGTCTCTCGCTCGCCCTCTCCCTCCCGCTCTCCCGCCGCCGTCGCCGCCTCCGTCTCCGCGTTCCCCTCGCGCCGCCGCCTCTGCCTCCGCCGCCGCGGCCGCGTCCACCTCCGTGGCCGTCGCGTCGGCGTCTCCGAGCGCCGTCGCCGTCGGCGAGGCGAGCAGCCATCTCCGCCTCGGTCCCCACCGTCGCCGAGCGCCGCCGCTGCGAGGCGCCTCCTCCGGCCGCCGGCGTCCGGATCCGGACTCCATGTTGTCGGGGACGCGGATCTGACCGCCGTCCATGCGCTGGGCAGCGTCTCCTCCTCCGCCGTCGCCGAGCATCGCCATTTTCGCCTCCACCTCGCTCTGGCGCTGTCGAGCGCCGCCGCCGCAGCACCCGTCCTCCGCTGCCGTTGCCATCGCCGAGCGCCCCTGCTGGGTCCTTCGCCGCCATCGCCGACGGCCGCTGCTCCGTCCTCCGTTGCCGCTGCCATCGAAGATACGACGTTGGTGACGGAGCCGGCATCAATGAAGGCGGTGGCAGCAGCGAGAAGAGGAGAACCGTATGTCACCAGGCTCTCGAGCTCGCCCCAGATCAGTGCCCTCTGTCCTTCTGCTCGTCGTGAGGACCCGCCAACCATGACGACGCCTCATTCCTCCTTTCTTCTGTGCTCAGCCACGGCAACACCACCACCATCGTCGTTCCTGTCGTTGCAGCCCGGTGAGCGTTGATGGGACCGGCGACGTTGAGTAGAGAGGAGAATAAGGGTGGAGGTGGTGGCGGCGGCGACGACGACGTCTTGGATGTCGGTGCCGGTGGGGGCGGGTGCGGCGTCCGTTGTGGGCGGGGTTGGAGCGGCGCTGGCCTGACACAGCGGAGAGTGCCACGGGGCTTCGGTTCCTGTAACCTGAGGGGGAGATGATGGGGGAGTATGGGTGCCGACGCAGGCGACCGTGGTCTTCGTCGTCTCGTCATCTCTGGGCTAGGATCCAAGGGCCAGGCGGCGGCGGCGGTCTATAGCTCCATGTCACGGTGGTCGCGCATATGGCTCCCTGCTTATGCTCTGTGCACGACCCAGTCGTGGTGGAGATATAGACCACCGCCGCCGCCTATTACATCTAGGGAAATTCATCTCGGATCAATTTTTATCACTTGAGAGTTTGCGTGCAGCGTGGTCTATGTTATGCATTTGTTTGCACATAAAAAAACAGGTCCTTATCCCCTTGAAACAAGATTAGCTGAACAATGCCTCAAAATACTTATGAAAGTCTTTCTTCTTTACATCGTTGTTTTTTTCGGTGGAAAATTGTTATTTTTCTTACATAAAAACTCTATTTCTACAATCACAAGCATGGGCTTTTACTATTCGTGTAGTCTGTAGATAGTGCTTCTGTCATACAACTTGTTCAATGGAACTCTGTAGTCGCTATGCCCCTTACTCTTAAAAAGTGCAATAAATAGAATTTTAAGAGAGAAGCAAAGGCCAACTGCCCTGTTTGCTTGCCCTTAAGTGATGTGTTATTGTGATATTTGAATTATTTTTTTCTTTCGTTCTGGAAATACTTTCGTTAGTATTATTAGGTCTTTCCATGGTATCATGTCTGACCTACTAGCCTTTCATGGCACAGTATAGTATTTTTACTTGTTTGGAACCAATATCCTTCTTATGTACCAGAACATAATATTGTCCTTATATTCTGGCAGGACTGCTTATAATCTGGCACTTCACGAACATGGGCCAAAGCTCTATGACAAACTGACAGAAGACATGGAAGATCACCTGCAAGAAATGTGCGTATCGATTGAGGCTGCTCAAGGTGGTTTAAAAATTATAGATAGGTAAAACAGAATGACTACAGGTGTTGGTTTTGCCTCCAAAATAAAATAAAGCTACTTCACTTTGCTGACATTGAATATTTGTTTTTGGTAGGTTCAGTCAAGAGAGTACCTTGCCCTATTATTTGCTTCCGTTTGTATGGGAGAACATCTTAGCTTGCGCTTTAATTGTTGCAGCAGAGTGAAGTTATAATTTCAGGTCTCTATTAATTGATGCCTTAGTCAGAAATCTGTTACTGCAGTGCTCTTTCTGGAAGTGCAAAAATAATATGATTAATAGCATAATGTAAGCTGGCTAGATTTTATGGTTGGGTGATATGGGAAGAGTCAATTGCGTTTTCTGTCCAGCTCGGTTTCTATCGGTGAATGGTTGTTCGTTTTTTTCCTGTGCTTTTCTATTGTTGGAGGATGGCAGGGTTCAAGGTTTTGTTTAGTGCGTTGTATCATTTTTATATTCATTTTTTAATGGTTATGTGGCGATGTTTGGGATAGGGTAATTTATGGTTTATCTGGTTTTTAAAGACTAAAAAGGTATTTCTCGGTTTGATTGCAACAGGCTTCGTTCCAAACAGCTAGCGTGTATACCACAGCACTCTATGGTTGGTGGCAGCAAAAGATGGAAGGAAAAAACGTATTAGCGGATGGGTGAGTGGACCTACCTAGATCAGTCGCATAGGCCAGGATTATAATTATATTTAGATGGTCTGATTAACTTTATGGTCGGTCAATCTATTTAACTGGATACATGTTGAGGCCATGGTTAAAAAAAAACTGTTTGGTGTGGTTCCTCATAGTCTTTGTGTTTGATGCTTATCTAAGATGAGCAAACCATGTTTATTATGTTACCTTTTCAGTTATGATTTTGGCGTTACCTTTTCGTTATGTATTCTGGTCCTCATTTCTGGCTGGTTGGAAACTGTATGTGATGTGATATAGATTTTGATATTGCGTTTGTATATTGCTCTACCTAAAAGTTTGTAGTTGGGCCTTGGGGATTATGTGTATCACAAATATTACTTTGGTATTGTTATTCTGGTTATGATTAAGTTTGTAAAATGATGCTTCTTATCGTATTTTCTACTGGATCAATTTGAGGCAAACGAATAAATGAGCTTCCTATTGTCTCCAGTGTGATGGTGCCGTACTTGTTCATCAGAGAAAACTAACAAGGTAATGCGCTACTCTTCTTGCCACTTATTGTAAGAGACATGATGATAGACCCGGCCATGCTAAGATTGGTTCTTAAAACTTAGTGTTTTGTTTTATCCTATGATAATGGTCATAAATTTAAGTCGATGAAAAAACATACAGATTATCGTTAATTTTATACATGACTAATGCTGTGGAAGAATGTTGAGATCTGGGGAAAATTGTTGCCTATTAATGTTCATTAATAGGAAGGTGAAATTTGAGTTTCATGCTGCTTTCCATGAAAAACTGTGCATGTTATTATTAAAAGTTGCTGCTAAATGGTTGCACATTTGATTACATGTTTTTATATCTATTGATATTCTGATGTCCAGAAAGCCTTTTTATCATAAGAGTGTGGTTTATATGATCAGATACATGCGATTTTGGAATTGAGTTGCATTACGACCAGAATTATCCTGAATGTTGTGCATGAAAATTACATTTCCTGTTGTTTTTGGTTCTCTTTGCGCCTGCCCTACACTTTGTGCATGCTTTCTTTTTTTTTTTCAGCTGCTGAGCTTTCAGGATGCAATAGCCTCAGTTCAAATATATGTTCCACTATACATATGTGTTTGCTAATGTGCTGCTTTAGAATAAAAAAAGAGAGTTATGAATTGTTCACTTGTTTGTTTTCCTTCTGCCCCGCATGAGCTATAGGTTTACCTCTGCTTTTATGTCTTCACCGTGTTTTATCAGTTCCATGGGAAGATCTTTCGTTTTCTTCCAGTTCCTTTTTTTACTAATTTTAGGTTTATACAGGTTTTGTTCACAAGAACAACTTAGGTGCTAATTTATATAAATATAATCCACATGCACGAACCCAGGATGTGTTTTTGTCTTGCCTGAGCGTTATATAGAACTAGCTTACTATATCCATGTAGATAACAGACGGCCATGCATAATTCATGCCTTTGTATCTATGTTATAAGAACATAGATTTTACATGAAGATGTTAGCTGTTTTGTTATTTTATTTACAAAAGATGACATGTTCCAATTTTAGCTTCTCGTTGGTCCCTTATGACATTGGTTACGTATAATGTCAATCTATTGAATTATATTTATGCCGTTCTATTAAGCACATTTGATTATACGGTTTGGTGTTTCATGTGTTGTGTTTAGACTTTTAGCATTTAGACTTTGTTCATCAATATATGTTTTTATGCATGAGGATGCACTGCTACATAGTAGTGGGATGTGCAGTTCTGACCTTCTCATCCACCTTCATTATAGTTAAGTTCATTGTACACTTTAATTTGTTTATTCTTCTCAGTCCACGGCGAAGCTGGGGATTTAACTGGCATTCGTAGATTTCTTGGATTTGGGATTGGTTTGCAGCCTGATTCAGACTATATGGACATTGGAGGGTGAAGCTTGGTGAGATGCTATTTATCTGTATTAGGACGTGTGTATTTCCTGTGTGTTTGTTACTTTATATAGGATTTAGAATAAAAAGCGGGCAGTTTTATGTGCAGGGGTGCTTTTGGAGGCAGATACGGTCTTCATCCACCCGACGGTAGATCCGAGCATGTGCATTTGTGGCGGTGCGAGGCAGCAGGCAGCGGCCAGTAGCCCGAGAACCCCGACCTCGATGCCCTAATGGGCGTCACGCCATATGTGACGGAGATACGCGACGAATTGGGGGTGAGCCAGGGAGACTGCGCGAACCATGATCTTGCGAGTTGCGAGCGCTGGGCCTGGCCACCGTTTTCAGGCCGTTGGGCAAGCTAGGAGGCAAGACCTTGGAGACGGGAAGCTGATCTACTTCTCCAGTCTCCAGTTATGTCTTGCAATTCGTAACTCCCTTCTTGGCTGCGGCCTACAGCCCTACAGCGAGTGGTATGACTTTATTCTTTCTAGATTTCTAGCATCTGATCTATTTGTCGATTAAGGGGATTTAACATATGTTAATTGATTTACTAGCAGTTCAAGTGACACCCCCACCCCAAAATAACTAGAGCACGAATCAATCAAAGAGCCTTCGATTATTACTTTATCCTAAAGAGATATTTGCTGATCAAACATAACAAATACAATTTGAGAACTATGCAATTATGCTTCTAAAATTAGAGATGAAGTGAGGAGGGCATATTTGTTGAATGAACCAAATAAAACAGCTGAGTAATTATTTTTTCCATTTCATCATGTGCACATCACATTCGACATGTGTAAGGGCATATGCTTCATTTTTGTTTTACTGATTTGAACTTAGGGTTCGAGCCCATCCTCCATTCTCAACCTGGATTTGCCACTCATCAAGCCTCAAGGAAATTGGTGGAGGTTGGCCAACGTTTACCTTCTACTGCAGAAGCTTGGTCATCGACTGCGTGCCTTGGTGCTGTCTTGCCATAGCTGCGGCTGCTTGCCTTGATCTGTTCACTTCTTAGTTTGCTAATTTCAAACGCGAAATTGGTTATTAGTGGTTCCGTTCTAATAGCTAAATATTAGAGATTGATTTCACCGAGTCTACAGCTTGCCATATTCATCTATTATATTATTAAAACAGCTTTGAAAGGAGGCACCACATTCGTTGTGGGGGCTAAAAATTTCCAGTCTATGTAGGAATACAATAAAAAAAATGGCTGAAATTCGGAATTAGAAATAAGCAATATTGAAAGAAGAGTCCATATAAGAACCTAATACGAGATTAATCAAAATTCGGAATAAAAATAAAATAAAATCCGAAATTAGAAAAAAAAAAAGAAGAGGTCCAAGTAGGAATACAATTTAAAAATAACTGAAATTTGGAATTAAAAATAAGGAATATTGAAAGAAGAGTCCATACAAGAATCCAATACGAGATTAATTAAAATTCAGAATAAAAAATAAAAAAAGAAAAAAGAAAAGAAAATAATAGTTCAAGTAGGAATACAATTTAAAATTAATTGGAATTCGGAATTAAATATAAGCAATATTGATATGAGAGTAGATATAAGAACCTAATAGTAGATTAATTAAAATTCAGAATAAAAATAAAATAAAATCTGAAATTAGGCAAATTAAAAAGAGAGTGAAAGTAGGAAAATAATTTTGAAACAACTGAAATTGAAAATAAAAAATAAAATATCAAAAGAACACAATACGAAAAATAAAATAAATACTGAAATTAGAAAAATAAAAATAAGATTTCAACTAGGAATACAATTTAAAAATAATTAAAATTGGTGATAAAAAATAAAGACAACTGAAAAATAAAGACCATCTAAAACACATGACGAGATTAATTAAGTAACAGGCCTATACAGGAGCAGAGTGGTGGCTGTTGATGGGACATCTGATAACTTGACGATTAAAAGGAAAAACAACGGGCAGGTCGTGAAGCAATCGGTCAAGGCGGTTGGCGGGACTTTGACTTTTAGAAAGTAAAAAAATAAACCTTGGTGATAATCATATTTAATTTTTAAAATCTCAATTACAATAAAAACGAGAGGCAGCGGGCCTGTATAGGAGTACAATGGCAGAGCCATTGATGGTTGGTGGGTCTTATAGAAAGTAAAAAATGAATTCCAATGATAGTTATGATCGATTTTTACAATCCCAGTGGCAATAAAGAGTATGCGGCGGACGGGTCGTAGAAGAGTATAGTGGTAATGTTTGACGGGATTTCTAAAAATTATAAAACAGATGAAACCCAACGAGACAATAAACTCTAAAAACTATAAGATCTAATTTTTAAAGGTTCGGGCTTCTAAATAATAAAAAAAATAAACCCCAATGATAATCATGTTTGATTTTAAAAACTCAATGACAATAAAGAAGAGCGGCAGCGAGCGAGCCATAGAGGAGTATGGTGACTAAGTCGCTGATATTTTGGTGGAACTTCTAGAAAGTAAAAAAAATGAACCTAAACAATAATTATGTACGACTTCTAAAATAGCAATGACAATAAAGAGAAGATGCGGTGGATGGTCGTAGAGGAGTATAATGGCAGCGTTTGATGGGACTTCTAGAAATTATAAAAAAGAAGCCCAACATGACAATAAACCTATAGTTTTTAGATCCAATTTTTAAAGGTTCCAAGGAGAATGAATAGAAACAATGGTAAATCGAGCAAGCAAATAATAAAGAATAATATGACAGATGTAAGGGTAGCAACAGGTGTGACTTTTAAAAACCACTTCCTCCGTTTCATATTATAAGACTTTCTAGCATTGCCCACATTTATATAGATTTTAATGAATCTAGACACACATTCATATATGTCTAGATTCATTAACATACATATGAATGTAGGCAATGCTAGAAAGTCTTATAACCTGAAATGGAGGTAGTATAAAATTAGAAACACGAGAATGATAAGGTTTGATCTTTCAAAATCTTAAGACAACGAGATAACTATTTAATAAAATTTAAGTAAAATCATATTAAAAACATATAAGTTTATATGGGTGCTAGCCGCGCAATTGCGCGGGCCACCCAGCTAGTTTATTTTAAATCCTTAAATTTCATTCTTACAAATGATTTGGCGATGAATTTTTTTCTTGTGTTCTTAGCAATGAGAAAAGAACAATGAGCCATGGGTCCTGAATCTTGCCATACATGGACCAGTATGGCAGTACATGTGCTTCCTTATATACAATACAAGAACCAGAATGTAGAATCATACTTGTGCGCACCTTTAATTTTGTAGGATAATTGTATGGATGAAGCAATTAAAGTTATAAGTTTTTTGAAGAGTTCAGAGTCCCTCATAGAGCTTGCAATCCAACATCACTTTATACCTGGATTTAGGGTGCACATTTTTACAGGCAAGTGATTAGGGTGTTGCCCTCGGTTTAGTTTTCAGACTGTCATTATATTCACTAGCCATCAACCCGTGCGTCGCACGGACTATTTTTTTGATAAACATCATAAAGATTAAATTACATTGGCTTAGATTAAAATAATAGTTAATAAGATTAACAACTTGCTAATCAATAGAGAATACTTAATGGACAGTGATATGCAACTTCACGTCAATTAATTCTTACTAATGATTTACTTGGCTTACCAGGTTCTGATATTTTACATGGATTCTTTCTCGATCTGTTTGTTTTACAGAGTACCACAAGTTGTGGCTTATCGGCAATGAATGAGATCCTATCTGGAGCCGTATAGGTGATGATTTATCAGGTTGGCGACTCCCATTCAAAACTTATGCAACTATTATATTTTCTATGTATCAATTCAATATCCCTTTAGAAAGCTTGATGACTCTGTGTAGTGTGATTTCTGTGCAAATAAGTCTTGCAGCTTAGCTAATGGAAATAGTAAAAAAAATCTTCAATATATCACCTCCCAACCTTGTCCATGATTTTTATATCATTGCTAAGTTTTGATGGAATTTGTTCGTTTGAAAGCTTGAAGATAGTGGTGTTTATGCTTGCAATTAACCTTACCTGATTTCTTTTCTGTGATTTTCGTGTTAAGAATCCGGCTATTAGCATTATTGTTTCAGTTGTAAAAGAATATGTTGATTGTTAGGACAGGCTTTCGACCAATTAGGCTCCTCATCTTGGCAATATTGTAAGGCACCGTGTCTCTCCCTATTCAACATATAGAGAACAGCCATTTATTTTTCTTTTAGTAGCAAGAGAAATTACATTGGCCAGAATGGCCAGTTGTGAACTGAATTATCCTGAACCTGTGCTGTGTGATTTGATGGTATATGCAGGATGTTTTATTTGTGGGCATTACCGTCTTCCCTCTTTCATGGACGGTATGATGAGGAACTCCCATTGTGCAAGCTCTTCAGCATGCCTAATTGGGTACGCATGTATGCAAACCACTTTCCCAATTAATTAACACTACTGTTTTTACTTCCCTATAGGTCAATTGATTGGTGAAGCATTTTATCCCTTTTCGAACAGAACCAATGAAGCAACAACAAGACAGTGTGGTCCTATTTTGTTTTTTGCAAATCCAAGCCATTAGTACGACTTACTATATATGAAACTCGCCCCTGCGTGCTGTATGATATCCTGTATAAAACCTACATCTTGCGATGAGCATTGTAACTGCTTTGAATTTATGAAAGTTACTTATCTAATGCACTGTGCTTCTAGGAATCTGTCAATGCTTGTAGCAATCAAACGAGGAATATAGCTAGGAATAGGAAATATTGATTTAAACTTACTGATCCTTGAAGTAGATCATTTAGCCATATTCTGATTTACAACTGACTATGCTAACAATCAGCATATTCTGATTTATGACTGGAACAATAATTCTAATAGATCAACTTCTATTACCATGTTAATCCCAAAATACGTTAATTGTTAGCATAGATCAGCTTCAAATATGCTAATAATGCAGGCAAAAATTGATGTCCTGTGAAGAGTACTATATCAATGCTATATGCTATACCCATCCTTTTCCTGTCAACAAACTGCAGTATCCATCCCCATGGAAATCAACCATTTACAAGTTATGGTACTACTGTTTGCTAATTAGCTTTTCATCTTAGATGGTCATCGTGCACACTGCACTTCTTTGTAAATATAACATACCTCCTACGTATCTAGCAGTTATTAGAGACTGCTAACTAACAAGATGCTTATGTGTAGTGAACAATCCAGTATGTTATCGTTGTCTTATATTTTGTTTCTGATATGTTTATTTACCTTTCCTAATTTTCAGCTCTTTCTGCAAATCTACTCAACATATTATCACACTCTTCGCACCAACCACGCATAGGCCTTCATGAAACAAGACAGAGTGGTTAGCTCTTCCGTTTGCTTTAAATTCTTTTATGCCTTCAGCCAACAGCTGACACCCAGTTTTCATTACAGTACTTTTCGACGAAATACTCCATAGATCACATAGCGCCACTCATGGACAGCGCAACAGTGGATATACAAGTTCAAGCATTGGAAGGCCCTTCAATCACAATGGTTCTCCACACATCAACGGATCATCGTTGCAACTTAAAAGATGGATGGACAGACTTTGCAGTAAACAACAGCATGAGGTTGCTCACTATGCATTTTCATTTCTACAAGAAAAGCATTTGCAAGCAACCATAGATATCTTCTGAAGACCGTACTGGCCCTGCCATACAGTCCTTTTGGTGCCATCAGGGTTCGCTCTCCATGAAACGTGATGCTAATATCTTATGATATCAATATGGTGTTAATTAGCCTTGTGCCTTATAAGGCCATCGTGCAGACTGCACTTGTAAATCTACTATGCCACCCACATATTTAGCCACTGTTATAAGGACCAAATAGGCAACATCCTTATCTATATATGGACACCTGAGTAAGTTAACATGGTCACCTGCTATATTGCTTTCAACCTGTTTCTTTTTCAGTGTGCAAGTATAACAACCGGATTGTTGCTATTCCCAACATGTACGTGCAGGCGGCGCACCATTGGCGCGTCCCACCCTCTAGTACAATGTATCAGACAAGTCATTCAGACTAGAATGTATGAATGGCAACTTGAGCCTTTGCTGCTTGCTGAAATTGCTGAAATGGTAATGAATGGTGTCATGTTGTTTTAAAAAAAATCTGGCATGCGATATCGTTACCATTTCCGAGTGTATCGTTCCGATTCCATTTTCGTGAAAATAAAATGAAAATGGAAATGGTAGAGGGTTTTTCGACTGTTTCCGACCGTTTTCATCCCTCCCAGGCAGCTTGGGAGCTCAGTGCTTTGCTACGGCTTGCTCCCCCGTGATAAATCAAGAAACGGCGCTTTACCTTTTTTTTTCCTCTGCTCGCGGGGCTTAGGGCCACGTGGCGCAAATTTGTAGAACTGACGGAAGACCAATCGGCTAGCACCGGAAAATTTAACTATTTGCCACTATTAGCTTTGACAATTATGCAAATATCCCTTTTAGATTTACACAAACTTTTTGTTGTCCTTCTTAAGTGGTGGTTTCTTAACTTTTCTTCCACTTTTACCTACGTGGCATGCCAAGGTGGCAATCAGGGTCGACGAGGGAGAAGATGGAGGGGAGATAGAGACTGACCAGTAGGTCCCACGTCGTTTTTCACCCTAGATATCCACGTTGGCATGCCACGTGGACAAAAGTGGCAAATAGTTAAGAAACCACCACTTAAGAGGGTCTAAAAAGCATGTGCAAATCTAAGAGGGGCATTTGATAATTGTCAAACATAATAGTGACAAATAGTTAAATGTCCCGTTGGCACAAGAAGCGCTAGCTTTAGATTATTAGATACTAGAAGATCTGCACGCCCTGTTGACGTGCCGCCTAATTTAGCCTGTAATATGGTTCATCTGCAAAATATATATTAAATTTGCCTATCTCTCATTTTATATTATTTGTCATTGTAGCAAAATTTCACATCAAACTAGGAGATGTGCAAATTACACTGCTATGCTTATTAACTACATTATAGTTTTCAAAAGCAATATTAACTTTGATTAACAGTTATACATGGCATTGATAAAATGTGAAGATAGAATACCGCGATCTAAAATAATAATTTCAAATGTGAGAATGACCAGTAATATTTTGAAACATACAGAGTAATATATTAATGGAATTTAATTTTATGTTTCCTTAGAATTATGAGAAAAACCAAATTAAGATTGTAATTAATGATGACCAATAGTTTGGCAAATAGTTAGATATTTCCATATTGGAAAGTACGAATTACCCCCCGAACTATTGCGGTAGTACGATTTACCCCCAAACTATAATACCAGACATTTAACACCCCAAACTCTCAAAACTGGATAAATTATAACCCTAAATCGATTCGAACTGGTTTTCAGCCTACGTGGCACACTCGTAGCAATACAGTCAGCAAAAACAACGGTAGGGCCCACCTTTCAGCGCTTGTTGTTTCTCTCCTTCTCTGCCCCTCTCTCTCTTGGTGAACAGAAGGCGGCTGCGAGCGGCGGGTAAGGAGCCGAGGCCGGCGGTGGGCGGGGGTGGAGGCGGCTGTGGGCGGCGGGTGAGGAGCCGAGGACGCGGCGTACTAGACGTCAGGGTAGCGCTCGGTCAGCTCTGATGGCAGCGGCGGCGGAGAGGGCGAGGGCGGCGGGACGTGGAGCGAGACGGTGGCAGGATCCTCCTTCCCACCGTCCAGGCGCTCAAGCTTCAAGCTTCAGTTGCTAGCAGGGTTGCATTTACCGCGGTAAACCGCGCGGTTACCGCGGTTACCGCGCTTACCGCGGGGGTACGGTAAGGGGTAAACCGCGGTAACCGCGTCAAATTCAAATAAATTTAAAAAATAATTTGAATTTTTGATAAATTTTGTACGGTTTGTCGCGGTTTGTCACGGTTACCGCGGTTACTGTGCGGTAACCGTGCTTACCGCCGGGGCGCGGTAACCGCGGCCCCGGCGGTAAATGAAACCCTGGTTGCTAGCTAGCCTGTTACATTGCTCCTCGTTGCAAATTGCAAACAGGCGATGGCTGATCTGATGCGTATGATGGCAACGGGATCATATCACTGTAGATGATCCGAAAACCAATAGTTTCTCTTTGTGGATTTTGTTGGCAACTTTTTGTGACAAGTCGACAAGCACGATCGCAACACCTAAACGCCTTGCGGTGATATGGAGTCGCCAACCACCTCGATCTAGCCAAAGGGCCAAATCAAGATGGGTTTTGTAGAAAAGCAACTAAACCGGCTAGCAGAGCCGATTTAGAGATCAAAATCAGCCTCTAGGCCGATTTAGATCGATATGAGGATAACTACCCGTCTCGTGGGCAAAATGGAAGGTTTTCAGGACAAACCTAAAAAGAGGTGTCGCACTCTCGCAGCGGCGGCGGACGGTTTACGGCGCAAACCGACAAAGATAGACTAAACTAGAGTAAAATAGAAAAACATAGTAAAAGAACGATTCAAGTAGATTGTATTTGGGGGGTTTTACAATGAACCGGCCTTGTCGCTTAAATAGGGGTTGGTCTTGCCCTCTACAGGCCCTTCTCCATGTCCAACTCGGGATAGAAACCAAAGGAAACACGAAACATGCCTTCCCGAGCAAGGAAACCCGAGACCCGACGAAAACAGACTCGGACTCGGACCCTGCCGGTCTGACCGCCCACATACCTGCGGTCAGACCGGCCCTACTAGCCGGTCAGACCGCCCACACACCTGTGGTCTGACCGGCCCTGTGAAGGAAACCCGTCACTTTCCAAACTTTGGCAATTTTCCCCTATTTCGTCTATAGGTGTCAAATTTGGGTGTAAACAGATTTCAGATTCACTAGCATCAACTTTTGCCCTAATTTCCTCGCTCCTTTTGACTTGAACTGTCTTCTTAATTTATCGGAGACGTTCGGTTCTCAGCTGGATGAGAGTGAAACTGATCAAATTACATTTGTTCTCTGCACTTCTGCTAGGCTGCTTAGCTACCACTAGCCTTTTACTACCCAGCTGCAGATAAACTAAAACATGTATATATGAACATGAATTCCCTAACCATATAAACTAAAACGCCTCCGATGATCGAACCATATCTTGGTCCATCGATTTAAGTGGAAACCAATGATCAGTTGTTTTATTTTATTTATTATATTTATAGAACAATTACTCCCTCGGTTCTATAATATAATGTACAACCACTTTCTTTATATGTTCCATAATATAAGGCATGCATTCAATTAATTATGACATCTTCTTCATTAAATTATTAATTTTTTAAACAATTCACTCTCACATTCTCTAATTCTATTGGATGCATGCATTATATTTATTAGGATGATCCAAACTACAAGATGATAATAACTATTTCTTTATCTTTGGGTTAATGTTGGTTGTGCCTTATATTTTGGAACGGAGGGAGTAATTTATTAGAGTCACGTGACAACTTAGGTGTATTTTGTCGGAACACTACTACTAATAGTCTCAGTTTACTTGTAGTCAACTACTGTTGGTTGTAGCTTGGTGGCATACTCTACCTACCTATCAGTTGTTGATGTTACTCGCGGAGTATCGTTCTTTATCTTTGGTGCTAGATGACATGCATGCATGCTCATTGGATATCAGCTGATTCTTATATTAGGTACATTGTGCATGAAATGTCTTGTAAGCAATATGACTTATTAGCGATCGGTGGATAGTGGTTTGTATGTAGAACTCGTATACGTGGGGATTAGTGAGGACATACGATTCCACATGTGGAGGGGAGTATCGTGGTGGGTATACCTGATTTTTTTTCTTTGAGATGGAGATCTAATGGGTAAAATTAGTAGGTCCACCGATTTTTTTTTCCTAATTTATTAGAACACCATGTGGCGGTTTACGAGCGTTTGTAGGAGACCACATGGCGGCTTGGGAGTTTTTGTAGGAAGTTAATTTAATGAACTTTTAGTATATGATAGATAGATATAGATGTACGTTTACACCAGGTCACATTTTCTCTGCTGTTTCCTAATTGGTTTTACTTTCATGCCTAGTTAATTAATTATATTAGCTATAGGGTTAAACCAATCTGCATGAGCACACAGACAGTAAAGTGGAGGAGGGGATTAGCTAACAGTTGCTTGCACAAGCAGGTGGACAGAAAGACATGCATTCGCTTTAATCACACTGCTCTGAATGTGACATTTCTGTCATGCCGCTCATGCATGATTAGTGGCCGGAGTAGGAGTACACGTTACTAGTGGAAGGAGAAAATCTTGTTGTCGGAGGCTGCCGCGAACGGGTCATGTGCACACTTAATTACCGTGTAGTCACGTCCAAATTCCAAAAACATAGTAAGACGTTGAAGAGGATATTGAGCAAAATTCGCATACATTATATTAATTATTATACTCACGTCACATGGGCTGGAGCCTATTTATACGGAGGAGGAGCAAAGGATCGGATGAAATCGACCAAGATGACGAAGATAGCAGGTGTTCTTATTTTAGTTCTTGTTATCTGTCCAACTATTACTTCCGCTACCGAAACCCGGGGAGGTAAATCCATCCATCCATCTCATGTTTTCTCACAATCTAGCTGAGCTTGATTCTCTCTTCCTAATTAGTAGTAATTACTTGTGCATGTTTGTATTGTGTTAGCGCTTCTATTCCTAATTAATTACTTGTGCATGCATGCGCTAATTAATTCTGTTTGTATTGTGTTAACAGGCCGGGATGACGACCTTAGTGACGACAAAATCTGGACATCTCTGATTGCATTCCACTATCCTGGATTGGTGGTTCCGCCAATCTGCATCGAGGACATTGCAAAGAAATGCGGGTGGAATAATCTGACCCCTGCATGCGTGATGGAAGAGATGGACAGCTGCCACTAAGGCGACCACCGGCCACTCTCCATCAGTCTCAGGCTGACAGGCTCTCAGCCATAATAATTAATAAGCTGTAATAAGGGGCCTAATTAATATGTACTACTTCATGCCTCTGATTTTGATTGCAAGCACCACTAGCCATGCATGCATGTCGTATATTCTAATAGAATTAATTAATGGTAATAATATAAAGCTAGCTAGATGTGCCTGTGGGTTTGATTTTTAATCACTAGGAGTAATGATAGAAAAAATAATTAAGAATTACTTCAATTTTTTAAATAACTAGCAAAAATGCCCGTGCGTTGCAACGGGTAAAAAGAATCCAATGACAATATACACTTTTCATGCATAACCATATTAATGATAATGTTTATATGGATCGTTGTAGTTACCACAATTAGAAAATTGGATTTTTCCGCCCCTTGTACCATATAATGGTTTTTTATTATATACGGACGACGGAAACTTTTTTAACTTTTTAAGTTTTTAAGTAAAGTTAGGGATTAGAGACTAGATCTGTTCCCTTTTGTGATTAGGAATTTAGATTGTTTATTTACTTTTTTAGAAATAAAAAGAAAAAAAAGAGATCGGGAGATGGGGAGGAGATTTTTTTCCACCTCCGATTCGCTTTTGTTTTTCTGTTGCCGCGTTTTTCTTTTCAGGATCGCTCTTTTTTTTAAGTTAGACGGACGACAAAAACATCATAAATTTTTTAAGTAGTAACAGAAACGAACGGTCAAATATATTTAAATAAATCAACGGCGTCAAATATTTACCTCGCCAACTGCCCCGAGGCTTCCTCCATTGTCACGGTTCAAATCAATAGCAGCCACAACCTTCCAATTTAGCGAATGACGAGTGAAACGACGGCCAACAGGCAATGTAACAGAGCGGCCACCGGTCGACTCCACCACACCAGCACACGCTCTCGTGAAACCCTAGGCTCCTCTCCCGCAGGCCGCAGCCATGTCACAGCACTCTGTTGTCTCCATGCTCATGGCCACGAGTGGCCTTCCCTGAGACCATGCCTTCACACGACGGTGGAAGAGATGACCTGGCCACTACTTAGGGGAGGATGTGAGGCGCATCATGGTCCGGTGTTATTGCTCGGTGCGTGGGGATAGCGCGGCGCACATCCGCTCGGCTGGATGGGGAATCGGTGATTTCACTGTCGCATTGTTATCACAAAGATATCTACATCCGTTTCTAGCCGTTGGATGAATAGATCGGATGGCTGATAAAAGAGATAGGAAGTTTTGTGTAGGTTCTCCTAGGTGCATCTAGCAAAGAGAATAACTCCTCCTTTTTATATATATTAGTAAAGATGAGTATGTAGGTTTATTAGACTAACATCATACCACTTAATATCACTGCTAGACAAGTGATCTTTAGTCCCGAGTTGCAAACCGACACCACAAATCTAGGATATCTTTAGTCTCCGTTGGTGTTACTAACCGAGACTAAATATTATTTTTTTTCCTTTTTTCATTGTTTTTTTTTGCTGCTTGCATATTGATCACAGATCCAGAAATCATCACAAAAACAGATCCACAAAAATCATCGCTAATCCACAAATCATCAGTGATCCAGATCCCCAAAAATCATCACAAATTATACTACCATCACAAATCAAAACAGATCCGCGGACTTCGAGCACTACGACTCCCACCTCAGCCTCCTCCTCCACCACAACAACTGCTGCCACACCCAATTCCACCCGTCACCACACCTCGGCAGCTGGATCGTCGCCGTCGGCGCTCCTCTCCCGCGAGGCAGAGGCGGATCCCAGCGACGACTGTCCGCGCGCCTAGGTCGTCACGCACCGCGACGGCGAGTGCCGCCGCCTACCCCTTGTGCCACCACCACCCCGCTCTTGCCACCGCCGCTGCCGCCTCCCCCCTCGTGCCATCGTCACCGCCTCCCCCCTTGTGCTGCCGCCGCCGCCTCCCCCTCCGCCGGATCCAGTGGAGGAGAGGGCTCTGCCACCGCCTATCGGTCCCGGCTACGATCGGAGAGGAGGTGTAGGAGATCGGAGAGAGGAGGAAAAGGAGAGATAGAAAGAGAGAAAGAGAAAGGGTTAGTGGATGAGGGGGAGAAAGAAATAAGGACGACGACGCGCGCTGCTCTCTCCCTCCCCATGTGGCTCGACTGTTTTTTTAATTTTTCGTCCTGGTTGGTTTAGACAACCGGGACTAAAGATAGTGGGAGGCTTGACAATTTTTGAACCGGGACATAAAAAATGATCTCTAGTCCTGTTTGATGTTACCAACTGGAACTAAATATCAAAAAATTCTGTTGGGCTTTTGAACCGGGACTAAACATATTCTTTAGTCTCGGTTCCTATTCGAATCGGGGCTAATGTGATTTTTGTCATCCGGACAAATATCAATTCTCCGGTAGTGTATATTGATGTATTAAAATGGAAGGGGTTGGATATTGGCTACCAGAAATTATTTTTCTAGCTAGGAGAAAAAGAGCTGCGATATCTAATCCATTTTTTCGACCACTAAAGCATCTAGAAACCCTGCTTCACTATACCGAACAATTCTTATCAATGGGAAAGTCTGTAATAGTTATCCAAGAGTTCTGTGTAGAAGGGCTATCATGCAACGGATCAAACGTGTGGATAGCACACCATGGCACCACGGAGATCGATATCCACTTCTGTCATTCCATGTAAACGACAGCTCCTTCTCCCCTTTCTAGAGTTGGTTCGATTTGGAGAAGGGGATTGAAAAAAAAAAGAGTAAATTGCATCGCCGTACATGAACTTGTTAGGTGGTAGCAATCTAGTGTACGAACTTATAAAACGCTTGTTCTAGTGCATGAACTTGTCAGGTGCGTGTGGAGGAAGGCGAAAAGAACACTACATGGATAATCTTATTGATTTTGTGATTGTAGAAAAAGATTAAAAAAAAGAGCAATGATATAAGGGTGGGAAAGATATGAAATATCATCACTTCCTTGATGAAGGATAAAGTAGTGATCAAATTTATAAATAATTGCAGTCTTATGCAAACGCACTATACATATGCACGTCACACCCTAATCAATATCAGCTTCGTAAGATTAATATTGCCAAGCTATTTTGGCTCTCGTTTGCACGAAACTATACAAGTTCGTGTACCGAAACGAGCATTTTACAAGTGATGAGGCATCACTAGATTGTCTGTACGCATGGTTTGGTATAACACACATGCACGTATGCATGTGCCTGGCAGTAGGGGTGAAAACAGTATGGAAATTTCCTAGAATTCTGGCTACCGTGTCCGGTTTGCACCGACCATTTCAGTCGGTATTGGTAATTGTCGGTATTGGAAATATAAACGGTAATCTCTTCCGGAAATGGTAGCGGAAATGAGATGGGTTTTTTCCGACCGTTTTGTTGGTAACCTTTTTTGATCGGTAATTTCCGTCAAATTTCCGACAAAATTCCGAAGAAGGAAGCTTGGGCGGCTGAGCCTGGCTACCAGGAGCAGCCCATTAGGCCGGAAGAAAAACCCTAGGGAATGGGCGTCAACCAGCGTGTCGCTTCTCATCCTCTCCCTGTCTCGTGACTCTCGTATAGCTCTCCGCCGCCTCTACCTCCGCCGACCGCCGACCGCCCATCGTCGCAACCACTTGTCCTCGCCGCCACGCCGCCGCTTGCTAGTCCTAGCCGTCGCATCCTCGCGCCTCACTGTGTCCCTTGCCGGAGAAGCATGATGGCACCTGCCGAACAAAAATGCCGCACCCATCTGCTGTCGTCTATCATATCCATGGCATGTGGCCGTTATTAAACTATAGTCTCGTCAACTTATCGATATTGAAGTATCGTTGAACTTTGTTTATATTGTTTGTTGACCTTATTGTCAACTCATTAATCATCATATAACAGTGTTATGTGGCAGCGTGATGATGCAAGGGTGAAATTATAAGGTCATCTTCATGCATAGTTAAATGTGGGATGATGTCACAGTTCGCTGTTTACGACATGACTTTTCGACTTCCGACTGATATCGGTAGATTCCCGTTCCGGCGGTTCTGTTTCCAATTTACAATATTGTGCAATGTCAATCTGGAATGGATATCAAACTGTCCCAATTTCAAGAATTACATAGTAGTTTTAGACGGTGCATAATCACATCACACATATTTTTAGAGAAGGTAAATCTGGACAGTACATATTATCAAAAAAATTCGAACGATTGTTACAACAATCTCTAACTCATTCGCAGTAGTCGGCAATGAAAATAAACGACAAACCAAGGTTACAAATCAGAGCACGGAGACAAGCAATTTCTTACCCCACGACTAACTCATGCCAGTTACAATCTATCGATTCCACCTTGTTCCTATCTCATATCGGGGACGACGGCATCCGGAGGCTGCCCTCGGCGTCAGCGAGAAGGGGTGTCGAAACATGAATTCGGCAATAATAAAAGGGGGTAGCGCACGAGACCTAAAAGTGGATGGATGCGAAGACAAAGGATTTAGACAGGTTCAGGCCCTCTCAATGAGAGGTAATACCCTACTCCTGTTTGGGGATTTGAATCCGCCGAGTGTGTATTGATCTGACGATCAGGTTGTCTCATGCCCCCTAGAGGGCCTCCTGCCCACCTTATATAGGGTGGGGGGCAGGATTACAAGATAGAAACCTTAACCAATACGGTATCGGTTTCCTAAATCTACTTTACAATATTATCAAACCAGGACTTTAGGCTGTTCCGTAATATATAAGGAAACGTAATACCCGAGTCATGATCTATTACATATCCCATAGATATAAGTTATCCCCTATGACTAGTCGGATAACCATGCCGTATGGGTATGGGGTACCCATAATATCCACAGTAGCCCCTGAGACCTTCGCAGTCGAAAAGATAATCTTCTCTCGAACCATATTACTCCAAAGCCGAGTGCTTCAATCATCTTTGTCATGGTCTCCCGAGTACTTTTACCAAATCTGAAGACTGTGGAGGGCTGGAAAATAAAGTCAGGTGCACCGACTAGATGCACCTAATAGGTGTAGCCCCCGACAATGTGGTTAATTGAACAAACCAAGCATATAGTCAAGGAATAAATAATCCAACCAACCGAGTGGTTTTGATAATCGTAATCAACCAAGTGACTTGATATCAATATATAGCATATGCGGTGTGAATCCTCCAAATAACATGATCCGAGTGATATACCAACTGCTTTGTAAAATATGATGAGTGATATAGCAAAATAGCTATAAAGAAG